CGAGCATCCCGGGCGGGAGGTGCAGAACTCTGGGAGAGTCGGGCGGGTGCTCCGCGGTGCGGGCGTGCGGCGCGAGAGTACCAGGCGCTCTCCGGCCAGTCTGCGCCAGTGCGAACGGCGGAGGCAGAGCCTTTACTTCAGGACAAGGTTTAGCAACGACCGCTGCGTCTTTTAAACTGTCGCTGCCTAAGAAGGAGTTTTTCCAGGTTAATGACAAGAGTGTGTGGCAGTTTGTCTTGATGCCCAGTGTGCCTTTGTTTTGTTTTTGTTATTTTTACTAATTTTATTATGTTTCAAGCAAAAAAACAAAAACAAACCCAACCCTGTATCCTCTGAGAATTGGCTGGCCTCATCCCTCTTATTATCCCTGGAGGGAAGTACCTGTCACCAGAGGGATAGAAGTGCTTTTTAATTCATAGTAATCAGAGTAATAATGGTTTGCCCATAGGGATTTTTAAATTAATTGAAGTCATGCACTTCAGTATATGGTAAGGAAGGTGAGAACTTCATGTTAATTGAATTAAATGTAAGCCTTCAGACTTAATTTTCTCCTTGTGAAGTCTCTTGGTATTTGGAGATTTATCTCTGCTCCACAACTAATTGAAACTGCCCGTGTGACAAATGCTCTAGTATTGTTTGATTTACTTGCTACCAGCAAGGTTATGTTGACGTCTACTGTGGTGTGCTGTAGTGCTACAGGAGTGCTTAAAAACAGGTGAAACTGACAGCCTTGACATTTAATAAAAAGTCTTACTCTTTTTCAGAGTTTGGGCACACCTCAACAGACTTTTTTTTTTTTTTTTTTTTTTTTTTTTTTTTTTTTGCGGTACCAGGGATTGAACTCAAGACCTTGAGCATGCCAGTCAGACGCTTATGACATTGAGCTGCTTCCTAGGCCCTCAACAGACATTTTTGGGGGTAATATTTCTGTTAGAAATCTGAATGCATTTCTAAATCTAAAGTTTTCAGAGCTTCATGCGTGGTGTATTTGCTGGAATAAGTGCACAGAGTGCAGCAAATGTATTTGTAACGTTTATTTTGTGTACAGTTTATTTTTTGTGCTAACCAGTTTGATTGTTCACATTTCTTAATAATTTAAAGTAGTTCAGGATACCCATGAAAAATCAACTTCAATTAATATTTAAATATTGCTGAAAACCTCCTTAGTCCTCACACTTCTTATCTGTCAAATAATACTGTTTGTGCTGATGTTCATTGCTGTTTAGTTTGCACCAAATTTCAAAAGTATACCTGAAAATTGCCAAGGTACGTCTGGGGACTGAGAACTTTTGATTGTTTATGAATTATCTGGGCTAATGCTTGCAGAAGCACATTTTTCTAGATAGTTCACCTCTCACACCATTAATTACTATTACATTTTAGCAATTTAGCTATTAAATCAAAACAAAACAAAAAACATGAAACCTTAGTTTGTGCATGGAAGATGTTGCTTTTTTTTTTTTTTTTTTTTTTTTTTTTTTTTTTTTTTTTTTTTGTCATTGGGCTATGAGCACGGATTCCTGAAGAATTATTGAATGGTGCTATTCTTTGAGGTGTGTAGAGCTGTTTTTGTTCATATTAGGTGGTCTCAGCCTACTGGGTTGAAATGCTAGAATAAAAGACTGAAGTATCTTTTTGAATTTTTTCTGGGTCCTCTTTCTGTTATCAGCTATCACTTTCCTCTGCTGTTTGGCAGTGAACAGGCCTTGATGGTAAATTATCTGTTTTCTTCTTTTGCCTTTTCATGAAATGATGTGGTCTATTGCCTGAGTACAAAGCCTGTGTACTGTAGGACAGATACTCTCTATTCACCTGCTTCATTTCTGGGCTGGAGTGTGAGCTAAGTAGTTGGGTTCTGAGAAGGGTGACTTTCTTTTTTTATTATTATTTTTTATTTTGTCTCTTTGAGGTAGGGTTTCACTATGCAGTTTGATCTGGCCTTCAACTCACTGTGGTCCTCCTTGTCTCAACCTCCTGAGTGCTGGAATTATAGGCTTGCACCACATTCACCTAGCCCAGGAGGGTGACTTTTGTCTATGAGGTTTTAAAGTATTTCTTACAGAAAATTTTGCATGTGAGAAGAGTATCTTACTAATTTTAGGCAGTTGTCTTTCAAAAGTCTTTGCCTTTCTAAGAAATTGAGGTAGCCCTTTAAAAAACGTTTGCTTTTATGATGGCAGGACAAGACTGTATTTAGTGATATATCTATCCATATGTAGATACATGGATATGATATTTTACATATCTTGGTCATTGAAACTCATTAACCATATGTATATAGTGTTGTTAATATTTCCCTTCCTGGAAGCTAGGAAGAAGTATAATTTGGTAATTGTGCTGATCATTCTTAAGGCTAGGTCATATTTAAATACTATCTTACATACCTATTTATGGAAGACCTAGATAATCAAAACAGTTTAAGTGAAGTAGTTTTTAATTTAGTCTTATAAACAGCAGGAATCCTACTTGTTAATCTGAAGCATTTTACCAGCATTCTTTTCTCCAACAGATATTTATTGAAAACACACTGTGTGCCAAACTTTGTGCTCTGGAGATAAATTAACATCCTGGGAGGTTGAGGGGACTGGGGGGGGGCAGGGTAGGAAACAAGGTAAATAGAGGCTGATGCTGTAACTGTAAGCGTTGTTGAGCCTTTGGAATACTCTTAGCAGGGATTTGGAAGTGGCCAGTTATACATGGGAGCAAAAGACTGAGAAACTTTGTAGAAGTGACACAAAGGGTGAATCAGATGGAGCAGAGATTGTCATCCTGAGTCAAGTAGTTTCTGTTTAAGGTTGTTTTAAACAAAGGCTTATCTGCATGGCTGAGGCAGGAGGATTGTAATTCAGAGACCATCCTGAAAAATTAGCAAGACCCTGTCTCAAGAAAAGGGTGGGCGTGTAGCTAGGTGGTAGAACACCCTCGATTTGATCACTAGTGCTGCATAGAAAATCCATGTGGAGCTGTGTGTTCAGTGAGTAGTTGCATAGAAGTTTTGAGCGGAGGGGTCCTGGGTTGATAGGAACAGATGGATACTTGGGACAGCTGTGTTAGAAATTTCCAGTGACTGGGTGGTCTCTTAAAGAATGAAAGGTGATAGGTTTTCAGGGCAGCTACTAAGAATTAAGAGGGCAGTAGATACCTGGAGAGATCCTGAAATCTGAAAGTTGGATAAAAAAAATAGCAGCAAGGATGAGAAGAGATGGGCAAGAGAGATGAAAGGGAGAATTAGGATTTTTAGTAACTAAAGGAGAAGAGTTTTGAGAAATGACAGGTCAGATATTATAAAACAAGGAGTAACTTATAGTCCTGAATTAGGATATAGTTCCTTCCTCAAAATGGGCATCAGAACACATACTTCCTAGGGCTACTGAGAGCACTGAAGGAGACTGTCACATGTGATACTTGGAAGGTTATTGGTTTGTGTTCAAGTGCAGACTGCTTTTATGGAAGCAGGTCTTGGATTTGTGGTTCACAGACCCCTAGTGACGTTGCTGTCCAAAGTGCTAGCTGTCAGGATTCTGGGAGGGTGATTGAAAAGTGATTTTTACCATGAAAACTTGATCCTGTTTATAGCGCTGTGGGTTAGAAGCCAGTAGAATAGCATCAGTTGGACAGCTGATCAAGCTCCTTGAAGAGAGTGGGAGTAACGTGGAAAGCATGGGCCATGCTGGGTGGCCAGGAGAGCTTTCTTCTTTAGTCTGGAGATTGCAACACAACACCTGCACTGTTTGTAAAAGAAAACTGAATAGTGGACATTTAGGTAGCCTAATACAAGCATTGAACAGAATCTGAGAACAAAAAATTGGAAACATAAGATAAATAATACCAAAATTTAACACAGGGCTAGGTCAGTTGCACAGTGCCTGCCCTGCAAGCACAAGATCCTGAGTGCGATAACCAATACAAAAAAAGCCCAAAACAACACCTTAACAAAAATAATGATTCAGAAGACATCACTGTATTTTACAGGGTCTTAAAAGTCAGCATTGAAAAGCACCATAAAATTAAATCACATTTATGGGATTTAAAATTTCAACCTGAATAGGGCATGCACTTAACATTTTTAAATGTAGGGTTTTAATTATGTTAATTATTGTACTTTTCTCTGTGTTATAAATATTTGCCAGTAAAAAGGTATGATTTTAAAACATTTTAAATACATGCAAGGACTTTGCTACTTAGAGCAGTAGCAGAGAAGAATTTTATACAAAAAATCCTATTTGATTCATTTTTTTTTTTTTTTTTTTTTTTTGGCAGAACCTGGGATTGGACTCAGGCCCTTGTGCTTGCCTGGCAAGCACTTATTCTACTGAGCTATCTCCCTGGCCCCTGATTCATCTGTTTCACAAATTCAAATTTTCTGCTGTTAAACACACCACACACCCCCCAAGAAAAGAAAATTGGGCATACCTCTAACCATAGTTTGAATATAGTGTAGTCCAGTAGAATTTTATGAATGTTCTCACTTGAAGTCTTAATCTGATTCAGCCTCATTCTCATTATAATAGCCATAATCTAGAAGAGTAAGCATTACCAAGAAAAATTTAAAAAATTTTTCATCAGGAGTGCCTCAGTGCTATTGTCACTCAGCTTTGAAACTTATGCCAGCCACAGACTTGCTTAGGGAGAAAGCTCTTGTGCTTTGCATAGCTTTTGCATTTGCTGTGATATGCCCTAGTCTAGTTCTTACTAAGCTAGTGCTGAGAGCAGAGCTTGGAGGAAACCTGCCAAACAGGTTTGTCCATTTAGCAAAGGGGAAAAACAGTGGAAGTTAGGAATAAGGTCAAGGATGAAACTGTTTTAAGGAATATTAATGTTAATTACCCACTTGTTTTCTCCTGATTTTGTAAATATCTTGCAGATGTTTATGCCTATAAGGATTAATGGAGATAGAGTGGGGATAAGGGGAACTAAGAAAGGGGATAAGAACAAGAGAGGATGAAAAGAAAGGGGAAAAAATGGTAGTGGAAGTGAAGAAAAAAACCTTAAGCCAAGAGGAGAAAGAAGACAGCATTTTACTGTACTAGCCCAGCTTTTTGTAAGCCTGGTGCATTAAACCAGGAAGCTGTTCTTGACCTGGGGGTGAGTAATTGAAAGGAATTTGTGTTGTGGTATTCACTGCAAAACAGGGCTATTATTCAGGTGGGGGCAAGATATATTAGCAGTATTGTTGGGCAAATTTAGTTAGCTTCTCTGACACTAGCCTTATCTGAGAAACACTAATTTTTCCCCCTAAACAATAATGCTATATTTGTACAATACTTATTGTAGTTGGCAAATCTAGCATATGACTTCTATCATTTTATCCTTATTCTGCCCTTAGCTTTGCCTGTCTCTACCAATATTTTTTGGATTATGATTTGGGGGAACAGGGTTCTTGAGTCACTTCCCAAGGTCACGAGGACAATCCTGGAGGGACTTAGTGTTAGGATCTATGGATCTTGGTTCCTCTTGCTCATGGGAACATTCTTGAACTGCCCCACACCACCTGCCTAGTTTTCCCAGGCTTAAGACCTTGACCCCATTATCTTTCTTAGACCCTTGCCTCTGACCTCCACTTCCTGCTCACCTGCGGGACTGCTGCTTCTCTCTGAGCCATCTGTAATTGCCCTGTATCTGTTCTCTTTGTCTGTATGTTTGCTTCCTTATATGTGCATTTGTACATCTTTGGCTCATAGGCCTGCAGTCTTCTGTCTCTGTCATCACTGCTTTTGTGAGGTGAATCAAGCTCATGAAACATATTTTTATTTATAAATAGATAATCTGGAGTTCCGGCTCTGGTTTTTCACCTACTATGCTCAAAACCTAGAGTCCACACTCAGCTTCCAAGCTTATCCTGGGTTATCTCAGTCTTCCAGTGACAGATCGGTGTTTTTTTAAATTTTCTCTCTTCTTTGTGACCTGTATCTAGTTTGGTACTGATTCTGTCCCATTTTTTTCACCTTTAGCCCTTCTTCTTTGATATTGCCCATCCTCCTTTGCTGTCTTTGTGCTTGTGTGGGAACTTGAATGCATCTTTCTGACCCTCTTTTGGCCTTGGACCCCTCCTGTCAATCTCAGTCAGCTGTCCTATCCCTGCACCCACTGTCTTCTATCAGCCAACACCTTTTACTTTACTTTCAGGTTTTTTTTTTTTTTTTTTTGGCCTGACCTTCAAGACTGCATTCTGATCTGATCACCTCATTTATCTTCTACACCCTGCAGGTTTCCATGATCCTTTGGGCACTGGCTTCAGGATATTCTCCTCCTTGAAATATTCTGCTTTTTTCCCTCTGTGCCTTCAGATCCTCACCTTTCAAGGTTTTGGCCTCCGGTCTCACCTTAGTTGCTTTCCTGTTTCACCTTTACTTGCCTTAACTTTAGTATTTATTGATAATAGGTTAGTGCTTAATTCTGCTCACATCCTCCCTCCAGAGAGAGTTTATAGGAGGCCGAGTTTCCCTGTAATCCACCCTGCACAAATAGTACGTAGCAGAGATAAGATATTCAAACATCATGAGATAGTATCTATAGTTTCTCACAAGATGGGGAGGTAGGGAAGCCCCAGTTTCTATCCATGCACTGTTGCTTTTGCCCCCGCACGTCATTCGAACATAATCCCCTCTTTTGCTTTTAAATGTAGTGTTCTGTGTGGAGCAACATACATTGTACACAGACTGCTGCTTCATGTAGTCACAGTGGAAAAGTCTGATCTGCAGAACTGTTATGTTTTCATGGAACTCTTCATTACAAAATTAAAATTTGTAGTAAGATTTTCTTCTAAACTTACCTGAGACTTCTATAACAGTGCACTCACAGCTATTCTAGATAAGGCTAATAAAAGTAGCAGCAGCAGCAATAAAGTATAGTTTTTATTTTTTATTTACATCTGAATATAAGTTATATCTGATGTCGTGAAACAGTGGAGAAAAGAGTACTTACACAGATGAGAACAATGACATTGAAAACATTCTAACCTCCATCCCTTTGTACTAGTTTATTCAAAGTACCAGCCAAGGCACATGATTTTTTTTTTTTCCTCTGTGGTCAGTTCCTTCTTCGATAACTGCCAAAATTCTTCTAGTTTAAAATGCTTCGCTTTCCATCTCTTTCTGCACAGGGTAGTAGGAGGTGGAATAGGAATAAGAGAAGTACATGTTCAGAAATATCCTGGGCAGGGGAGAGGGAAAGAAAGACAAAGAATGGAAAGAAAAGACATGAAATAGGAAACTTATCAATAGGGAGTGATGCTTACTTGTGTTATTTGCCAATTTTAGATCATTCTTAAAGGCATCAAGAGGTGATTCTATTAAAGTCAGTCTTTCTCTGAGCATATGCTTTGGCATATATTGTCTTCAGATTTCTAAGCTATGCACAGTGCTCAGAATCCAGCTCCACTGACATTCTGTTCTCCTTTTCTCTTCTCTGCTGTGTGTCTACCTTTCTGGAGATGTTTTTGTGTTTTTGAGGAATTGTGAGGCCAGGTCCTACTGATTGGTTTTCAGTGGGCATGGAGGGAGGGAGATAGACAGGAGATAGACATTTTAGATGATAGGTGTCTGCCTTGTTCTCAGATCTGGTTTTTAAATATCATTCTGTGTAGTATTTGTGTAGTCCGTTTCTGGACCCTAAATGCTTTCTACTTTCTTACCATTTGCCAGTAAAAAAAATCTTCGTTTATTTTAGTGCTACTTAAAAGTAATCACATTCCTACTCTTATCCCATTCCCCTGTCCAGTGGAGATAGGGCAGAAATTTTGAACTTGATGTGTTGATTTCCTGGAGGTCAGTACAATGACTGTCTGTAACCTTTAGGAAATAATGCAGAAATCATTCAACAAGCTGCGTATTATGTGATAGAAGTCTCTGACTTAGAAACACAATGCACTGCGATTTTTTTTTAAAGTACAAATATTTACAGTTTTATAGTATAAAGGTTTTTTTTTGACATTCTTGTCTTTCATTTACTCTTTTACCTTTTTTTAACGAACTGTAAAGAGAGTATAGCAATAATTTATATGACATTAGAAGCAGTATGCATTTAGAAGACCAAAATGACAGGTATTTTAAGCATGGTTTTAGGATTACATGTTGCTGTCTGCAGTGTAGTTGCTTAGTTCACAGATATCAGCATATAGAGGTAGCCAGGGTGAGAATTCTACCCATTAACTGCTATTTTCAAAAACTTTATGGAAATTCTTAGGACCATTGCCTTAACCATCTTGTTTATATAAATGTATTGTTTTGCCCCTAAACATATGTCCAAACTTTTCTCCTTTTTCTCTCTTTGTAGTTTAATCCTTAAGTTCTCTCTTTCCATTTAACTGTGTTATACCTTTCAATTTTTATTTCATTTGAGTTCTTACACTAGGGAGACAGTAAGATATTTACACATGTGTGTCTGATTTATTTCACTGAGTATACCTTCAAGTTGCATCCAGTTACCTATGAAGGCTTTGAGTTTATTTTTCTTTATAGCTGAGTGATACTCCATTGTATCAAAATACAGTATCTTTTTCATCCTTCTTCAGGTGATGGGCCTTTTAGTTGTTTCCAAGATTTGGCTATTACAAATTGTACTGCCATAAACATAGGCACACATCTATCACTATGATATGATGTTTTCAGTTCTTTGGGAAACTTCCCAGAAGAGGGATAGCTGGACTGAATGAGATTTCTATAGTATAAAGTTTTAAGGTCATCACTAAGGCTTTTCCAAAACTGCTGCTTTGATTTATGTCTCCAGAATTCAAGAAAAACTTGATTATCTGACACATGGCAGTGAGAACCTAAGAGAGTCTTTGTAGAGTACAGATGAGAGATACTAGATGGGGACCCGGGAAACCTGAGTGCTAGTTTTCTCTCTGCCAGTGAGTAACGATGAACTGGTGATGTGATGCTAGGTAACCACTCCCTAGAGACTTTTTCCTTTCCCTGCATATAAGAAGGCTTGCACTCAGTAATATTTAGATTTGAAATTGCATCTGTGATCTGATAAATGAAAATACATGCTTTTATTTAACATTTTGCATGATTTTTCTAATAAACATATTAAAGGCTAATATTTACGTATATTCATATTATTTTTGTAGGACTGACAACACTAGGCAGTGATACATAACACTATTCTGCACTTGCTTCAGTAGGGTGAATATTTGGCATGTAGGAGACAAAGCTGTGCATCTTTACTGGGAGTAATGGGGCATTCATGGGGAATTGCATTATGTCTTTCTGCAGAATCTACCAAAATACTTTTTTTCCAGGGTTTAATATCACTTTGCTGGTTTAAAATCTAACAGTGTATAGCATGCTTCGCATGGTGATTGTACTGGAATTTTATGAAACAACAATGGAAGGTTTGTTATTTGTTCACCTGTGAGGACTTTTAAGGAATTGAATAGGGCATTATCTAGAAGTTTTTATTGTTGTTAATAATTAGCCAGACATTTTTTGGCCCAAAAACACTTCTGTGTTATTTCTTAGAAATTTATTTTGTGACTTAGCAATTAAAAATTCATCTAGTGCTATGAAAGAAAGGCTATTTTTAGTTGATGAAACAGTTCCACCTTTTTGTGATCATTCTGTATTTCTGTAAAGAATTTTGTATATTGATTATTGAATAGAAGTTTCCCCAAGTATGGAAGTGTTTCATTGGAGAAGATGAAAATTTTATCTGAATCCCTGCAAATTCACTACTATATCTCATTAAAATCTCAATGAAAGTTGTAAAAAAGTTAGAACAAAGCATTTTAACAGGCACGCACAGGGTCCTGAGTTCAATCCCTGGTGCCGCAAAAAACAAACACAACATTTTAAGACATAGAGCATCAGTTTTTTAAAGAAAGCATACCCCTGTCAGAATGTAAGCTTCATTTTCAGTTTCATGACGATGAAACTTTTCTGACCTACTGAAAGATGAGATCAGATTGTAAACAAAGGATTTCCGTGTTGTTGGCTCAATGTTAATCATGTAAGGCAGACACTTGGAGATGGAGAGAACGGGTACCCAGCTTGTTTTAAGAACTACAGAAAAAGAAACCCACACCATACTCTGCATTTTAAAACTGGAAATGTGATAAAGGGTTAAAGTGTTTTAATACACAA